ATGCACAAAGTGAGATTTGAACCGTATATAAGAATTACTTTATAAATATTAAATATAAATATTATAATATAAATAAATGCACCGTAATATAAATATTCTATTGTTATTTATGGTCCATGCTCTAAGAGAGGCCTTGTTAAACCTGAGTAATGATGCTGCTTGTAGAGAAGTCTTATTTCATTCTTTATTCCATTAGTGTAGTCTAGAAAAAGAGCCGCTTAATTTCGCTCTGTTGTTTTTTTTTTTATTTACTTTTTTTTACAGAAAAATTTCCTACCTTTTCTATCGCTTTACTCGATTTTTCGTTTAATGTTTTAAGAAGAAGATTCATCAGTATTTGTATAAACGATCATTGTTTGGTAAACATTTTTTTCTGGATATTTGAGTATTTCAAAAGAATTTGTTACAAAAAATAATCTAAGGTCTGATTTAATGTCTTGCCTTAACGGTTACATATTGAAATAAATATAATTTTTTTAATATAGTCTTTTCATGTTCCAATTTTCATTGCATGTTCCTAATGATAGTTTGAATAAATGTTGTTACTTTGCGGCCATATTACAACCCGTTAAAATATTGCGTACCTACATCAGAATACAAAAGGAGTGATCATTTTGGAGTTTTTTCTTATATAATCCACATTTATAAATCAGTTGGCCTAATGAATTAAAAATATCTATTAAAAAGCTATGGGGCTCTACCAAACCATCTAATTCCTATCGTAATCAATGCTTACAATCCAAAAACCTTAATTTCCCATACTTTGTCACAAATAAAATCATTCATAAAAATGTTAATGATTTAGCCCGAGTCACATATCTATCCTTTCATGAAACTGCAGTCCCATCCGAATCATCTTGTTTCTAGCCTTGCTTCTTCCTCGATTCCTGATAATTCCTAGGCGTCTGAAAAGGAGATGGCCTCGTGATCTTCTTAACTAGAATTATTTAGGGAGTGCTACCACTGGGTAGTATCTCTTCAAGCCTGTCCATGTCATTATTTATAATTTGTGCATATTTACTGGTTGTATTTATATAGAGTTATAAATTTCATTAAATAAATGAAATATTTAAAAAAATTGATATTGTTTTTTATATTTTATATATAATTTTTAAATAGTGTTTTTTTTCTTCTAATTTTCGATAGCTGTAAATTTTTATTGAATTAATCTCAAAAAAATTAAAAGGGAATAATCATGTATTTTGGGCTTAGATATGTAAAATTGTAGATTTTATTTTATTTTTTTATTTCTTAAAGACATTTACAACTGTATTAAATAAATATATCTAGTAAATTAGAACATAATGTATATAATGACACGAAAAACACTTGCTGAGTAACTACCCAATGGTAGCACTCTAGAAATTGTAGATAAATGACAAAAACACATAATATGTTTCAAATAGTTTTTATTTATTTTTTCTGAAAATTTAGCTGCAAGTTTGAAGATAATATAAGTCCATCAGGATAAAAAGGCATTTATTTTGTGATCTTGGCAAGTAACTAATGAAACACTCCATATACGACATAGTCTTTCCATAAACGAAAAAAAAAATCAAAATTTTCTTAATGTCAATGTTGATTTAGTTGTTGTTTCTGGTCGTATGAAATTTAACAGATTGTCTATATTTGTGTCCTCTTGCTAATATTTCTTTTTTTTTTACCATAGTGCATCTAAGGAGGTGGAGAAAGCAAAATATTGATCAAACAGGAGTTTTATCTGAGAGATTTTGCTTGTCTATTCGACTCTTTGAATGAATATAATAATTTATATCCGATAGCCCATTAAGGAATCCTTCAGCTCTGTTTGTGACGTTGACATTTTATAGGGATTTTTTTTAAATATAAAAATGCTAATTTGACACCTACTATCCACGGAAAAAATGATGAAGATCTCTCCTTATTATGCGTCGATGTCTTCAATAAAACCATATAATCGTTACTGGCTTTCAATAGCACAGAGAAATTAGCAATGCTAATAAAGCAGTAATTAAATCCTCAGCCAATAAATGGATTTTATTTGATAATACGTCAATACTTAATTTATAGTTTTAATCGATTTTCAGATAAATACTTTACTTTACTGGGCTCATACAACTTTAAAAGATTTCGGTGTGATCGATAATAATTTTATAGAATTTAGTATAAATAGAAAGATGGCTTATAGATTGAAAAACAATGTTAACGACAAGAAAAACTCGTCTATACAATATTATGTTGTCAAGATAGTCTATTCAACACACGCGTACTAAATGCATTTCTTTAATACAGTTGTAAATATCATTAAGAAATAATAAAAAATATTGACTTTTCATTAACTAGATTGTAGACAGCACAAAGTTCGGCGCCTTCACGAATGTTGCATGTCAAACCCACAACTCAGAACAATCAGGCAAAATTGATGATACAGTTTGTGTAAGGCGCTAGCCTAACTTCAGTCACTAGATAGGTTAACAGTGATAGCTGCTAAGTCTGTACTGCAAATATGGTTCCATAATCAGAGCTAATATAATTTTAATAAACTGTTATTATATAATCTATTATATCGACTTTTGAAACCTTGAAAATTTTCCAATGACTATTTAAAGTTGTTGACGGAATTTAAGGATCGAAATTGGTATTCGTCACTTCTCTATGAAATTTTATTTCGATTGGTTCTTCATTCTTAAAAAAAACATCTCTTCTGAGAGCAGGGATCTCTCTCTCTCTCTCTCTCTCTCTCTCTCTCTCTATATATATATATATATAAGTACAATAATGGATTGCTAGAAGTTTAGAAATAACTATGAGCTATGAGCGTATTAATTAAGTAGATTGTTACTTTCATAGTTCTGGTAAAGTATGAAACTTCCTCGAATAGTATTTGAGACAATTTTTACAATATTATATTGTAACTACGACGTTTTCTGGTCGTTAACACAATGTTTCATTCTATGAGCCATATCCACACTAAATCGTATAATATTATTATCGATCACACTGAAAGCTTTTAAAGCTTTTTCAACCCAAACCTGAATAATTATAATTTAAAATTAATTTAATTTTAGATCCTGCATTTATATTCATGTCATGTGACATTCGTTGAGAGGCGAGCTGTGTCGGAAATAGCTCATGATTTTATCGGTGGGACATATCGGGATACATCGAATATATAATTCTTGACATGATATATAACATTAAAGTCATAAGGAACATAATTTTTTTTTCATGCTCATGCCTTCATCTGAACCTGTCATGAGAGTAACAATCAGCAGATTTGATGGAAATACAGATCGTAATGACATCACAGGCACTTCCTGGTCTTTGCTTTTTTTCATAAGCCAGAGAAGGAGATCTCTCATCCAATTCCTCTTTAGCCTCCTCCAAATGGGAAATAAATGGTTTTCAATATAATGATATTGAAACAAAAAATAAATAAAATTATAATAACTAACCTATTATTAAGGAAACAAAATAGCTTGCCATAAAATAATATGGACACAAATAAAATAAAGTAAAAATAAATACTCTATATTAACTGAAACAGTGAACATAGTTTTTTTCAAAGGTTATGTGTGAACGGAGTTTACAATTACAATTACAAACAATTACTTACTTACTTCCGTGGCTGTACAGCCCTTATAGGGCCTCCACAATAACAACTCTCCAATCCTTTTTATCAGCGACCCCTGGTTCTTCATTGTCCAATTACTATTTTATGCAAATGATTTTCCACATCATCGAAGACCGAGCATCCTGGTTCGCCATTTCTTCGGTAACTATATTTATTGAGAGATATTACAATCTGTCACAAATAAGGACATTTATAATAGTGTTCAGATAGCATATTCACTCTCTATCAACAATAAATAAAACTAAATAATACAGAAAAAACAATAATTCTAAAAGTAAATGTATATAAACTAAAAGAAACTAAACTAATAAAAACAACTACTCACATACACACACGCTTTTATACAATATCTAAATAAATAAAAATAGAAAAATCATTCACCCAAGATCTTCGAGCCAAACCTTTCTCCCCACTCGAGGAAGGAAAGGCAGGACTCTAGAAGATCCCAGCGCCTCTAAATCAGACGCATTTCTGGTATTAAGGACCAGTAGAGGATTATTGAGTGAAACATCTGACTTGAGTGAAGAATCTGACCATTGCCAAAACTCCAATGTATACTTATTCATATAAGGTCTCTGGGCCACTGCAGCATCAACCTTCGAGGAGGACTTTAGGGATGGATGGTGCTGGATAGAGATTGTGCAAGGGGATTAGAATGGTAGGTAAGGCTCTGGTGCAATATGGAGAATTTTTCAAGGATGAGGTCTAGGACAAATGGGATATTAAGGTCATGGTGTAGGGTTTTGTTGGTTACATAGAATGGAGCATCAGCTCTTGTTCGAAGGACTTTAGATTGCAAGGATTGATGATATGTTATGTTATAATGCGTTTGATGTTAGAAAATTTTGCTGTTTTGCTGTCCTTCCACAGTTCAAGTCCGTATGTCCACATAGGTTTCAGGATTGTCTTGTAGACAAGTAATTTGTTTTCAATTGAAAGTTTATATTTTCTGTTCAGCAGTCTGGCCTTATCGTCAGTTGATTTCTTGTCTTTTGAATCTAGTATGTGGGTTACATTTTAATCTTCGGTCTAGGAGAAAGCCAAGATACCGGACTGTGTTTGAGAAAGGATGCTGGATGGAATTAAAGTGTACTGGTGGACAGGAACTGCGTCGGAGTGTGAAGGTAATCTGTTGGCATTTGGATTCATTTACTTTAATACGCCACTTATTACACCAGTACCTTAAGAAGGAGAAGTGCTTGGTTTACCATTTAATATTTTGTTTTTAATATGTACATTAATGCATGCCCTAGCCATGTTATGCGGTTCGATTTAACGTAAGTGACCATGAATGGTTTATGATGCAGTTTTCGAAGTTCTCTATTATTTCTTATCTTCCATTGATTATTTAGTCAATTATAATGTGTTTTTATTTCTTTTGTTGCAGACGGGGAGAGAATAGAGGGCTGCGGGATGGGGTAGTGCGATGCCCAACTCGACGGAGGGAGGTTGGTTCCCTGGGCGGAGCTCCCCCTACAGCACGGCAGAGGCTGTGGTGATCGGCGCCCTCCTCTTCGCGGTCATCCTGGTCACGGTGGTGGGAAACATCCTCGTCTGCGTAGCCGTCTGCCTGGTGAGGAAGCTCCGCCGGCCTTGCAACTACCTCCTCGTGTCCCTCGCCGTCTCCGACCTCTGCGTCGCTATCCTCGTCATGCCGATGGCCCTCCTCTACGAGATCCTCGGCACCTGGAACTTCGGCCCCATCATGTGCGACGTCTGGGTCTCATTCGACGTCCTCTCCTGCACCGCGTCTATTCTCAACCTCTGTATGATCAGTGTCGACAGGTAAATGAATTATATTACCCTACTGTTTTATTATATTTTATATGCTACTAGCTTTACCCGGCCACGCGCTGCTGTGGCTTAGCCAGGCAAAATTAAAAAGAACGAAAATACAAAGCAAATATGAGTAGATTTGTAGCAAAGGACATCTGTCATTTTTAAAAAGTTGGGAAACAAATTTGTCTGTAAAATGGCTTCAATTTAAACTAATTTTAATATTTTTTCCTCATGATTCAAATTGAACATTCAGAATCATTTGAGTGAGTACGCCGTCATTCATAATCATCTGAGTGAATACACCGTCATTCATAATCATCAGAAACAGACTGAGTTGAACTTATACAACTAAATTAAAAAAATAATATAAAAAACGTATAATAGTATTGACCTACATAAGTAGAATCATATAACATCTTCAAATGATAATTTAAATTACCGTAGTAATTATAAAATTTTCGATTAATCTATAAAAAAATAAAATGCTTGCTGACCTTCGGTAGTGCGGAAGCAAAAGGAAATGGCCTTTTTTGAAGAGAACAGTAAATGTTTATACTCTATAATTCTACAACGAACCGTCCGATTTCGATGATTTTTTTTTTATTTTGTCAGCGATTCAGAAATCTTTCATATAAATATGGGTAATATTTATTTATATTATTTTTTTTTACATATATAAAATCATCATACAGAAGTACTATGCCAGAAACCTTCCCAGGAGTATACGGAACAACTTTCCAAAGTTTCATGGCGATCGGATGAATGGTTTAGTAATGCACAAAGGACAAACGGACAGACAGATCGACATACATTCATTTTATATATATATAGATAAGTGTTCCATATCAGAGAAGTTGAAAATTTACGGTTTGCTAGCCACGTTACACTTTACACTTTCAATAAGCCCGGTAGGGAAAGTTTAAGATAATAATAAAAGCATCTATAATGTCGAATCATTGATTTGAAAATAATCTATTTGTAGAAGTAATTAAACAATTTTTAAAGTAATGAATAAAGAACATTACAGGCTAATTTTCAAATAAAACAAAAATTAGTTAGACAATTTAGACAACCTAAATGTTACTGATAAAAGCCTAAGAAAACTAACATATTTTTGTTTCGTCCAGCGTCCAGTAATATTTTTACTTTCACTTACGTATATATGTAATGTATAGTAAGAGTAAGTATTGCGATCGAGAATTTTTTTTTAATCTGAGTTTTCAACTCAAATAAACGTTTTGATGTACTCTGATTCCAAATAACCAAGTTTGGAAAAATGGTCTGTGGGTCTATGAACAGTCTAGCTCGAAAACGAAAAGTCCTACGAAACTGATAATTCGTATTTAAGATAGGTATATGCCTCAGATGTCGCTGCAACCTTTCCCTTAAAATCTGCTAACCAGAAGTACCACTTTATATCAACGGTGAAACACATTTTTACAATTTTCTCAAAAACGGCTCTAACGATTTTGATTAAACTCGGTTGTATAATTGTATAATTAAGTGGTCTTTAATATCATTTAGGCCTTATCTCCGTTGATGTTACTTTACAAGGCTTAAATGCATAATGTTCATATACGTCTTTCTCTAAAGTACATTTAATATGGTTTATTTTAAAAAGTTAATCATTTCACATTATTCAGAGTTACGAAAAAATTCTAAATAAAACTTTTGAAAGAATTTGTTAAGTTAATAAAGGAGAAAAAAACAAAAATGTAAAAACCCTGCGTTGCTGTACTGCAGCGCCTAAACGAATGTACCTATTTCAATGAAACTTCGCTAAAGTCATTTTCTTTACACCCTTTAAATTTATCTGTATAACATACTTCAACGAAAAGAAGGAGGAAAAAAAGTTAACTCATAAATTATACACTTTTTTTATGGATATTGTGGTAAGATGATTCAAAGGTTATTAAAATTTTAAAAAATGAAAAAAGTTTTAAAGCATCATTAGTAGAGATATCGCGATTTTAAAATATATTTTGGTTTATTATTAGTTTCACTAACGTATATATGTACTATATAGTAAGGATAAGTATTGCGATCGAGACTATTTTTTTTCATCCAGTACCTTTATTTAAAATCAAGTAAAACGAATTGGATATATTTTTTTTGTTATTTTACAATTAATTGTTCATTTTAAATATAAAACTAAAATTTGAGATTTAATTTTCTGTAAATTCAATCGGAACTCACAAAATGAATATTTTTTAATTTATTTGTTCTTTGTAATGATCAAATATTGCGAAACAGATTATGACTGAGGGGAATAATTGTAAAAATTAATAGTTTTTAATTTTAAAAATCAACCCATATTCTCTATGTAATACAGTTGTAAATTCCATTGAAATAAAAAAAAAAAAAAAAAAAAAAAATCAACCCCTGACTAATGTAATTTTTGGCTAGATGTAGTTTTTATTTTTGTTCATATCTGTTATTCATAAGAGACCTTGTCCCAGAATAAAGTTTACTTTCTATCTATCTATCTATCTATATTTTGGAGTGAAAAAATATTATTATTATTTATTTTTTTTGTATTTACATTTCAAATTTCATGTTTCCAGATACTACGCCATCACAAAACCCTTAGAGTACGGGGTGAAGCGAACCCCTAAACGGATGATCGCCTGCGTCTCGCTGGTGTGGTTGGGGGCGGCTTGCATCAGCCTCCCGCCCCTCCTCATCCTCGGAAACACCCACGGCGAGACCCAGGACCGGCCTGGCCTCCAGTGCCTCGTCTGCCAGGACTTCGCCTACCAGATCTACGCCACCGTCGGCTCCTTCTATTTCCCGCTGTCCGTCATGATGTTCGTCTACTACAAGATCTTCAGGGCGGCGAGGAAGATCGTCGAGGAGGAGCGGCGGGCTCAGACTCACCTCGAGACCAGCCATTGCTTCCTCGAGATCTCCAAGAACGGCTCCGGGCCGGAGAGCAGGCTGGCAGGGAACTCCCCTTCGAGGCAGCAGCACAGGACCAGTACGACCAGTACTAACACCACCGTGAGTACAATAGTATGTACTCTTTACCCCCACCTACACTATCTCTAATATATAAAATGCATGGAAAGTAGCAACTATAGCCATTTATGCTTCATTATGATAATGTAATCTTGCATGCTTCAACATTTTTTTTTATTTTATACATTAGATGTTCCTTTTTTTCATTCTAAAACTATAAATAAATCTAATGAAATGTTACTTTTTTATCCCCACAAAAGGGATGCCACCGGATAATTACTGATAATAATTACTCAAAAATATTTAATAAAAACTTAGAAAAATAAATTTGTATCTATAATATACTGATTGGTCCAGAATTACACAGATTACCTGTGATCATCATGATATAAATAGGTGGCAGAATTAAAATAACTTTTACTAAAAATATAATTTATTTCTATGTTTAATAAAGAATATATACAAATTATATTTACAAGAACGAAATACGTGATTCAATGAATATAATAATTAAGTATGAAGGCATGATTTCAGACGGACTGTTTTGAAAATTATATTGCCATGAAATATTCTAACATTGGTAAATTTATTGTTGGGAATAAACACTTATCTATTGCATATGAAGTGGTGTGGTTGGTAGATTTCATCGCTGCATCTTCTGAGCCGAGGTCATCTCGTCATGGTTCAAAGCTCTGCTAGGACCATCATGGTCTATGTAGGGCCAAGGATTCAGTCCCCAAACTGGAAGAAGACAGAAGACCAATGCTCAATGCCGGAAATTAACATAAGACCTCTTTTCTTACTTCTCGGCCTATTATATACAAATATTCAGGGTGGGGAAAGGATGGTTTTCATTGGTTCTTAACTTCAACCTATTACTTCACAATAACTGGTAACACCCTAAAAGGAACCAGTTACTTAACCAGTCACTAGTTTTTACTCTAAGCCTCCCCCAGGGTCCAGGTACAACAGGTCTGTCCTTATTTACCTGCTCCTATCCTTGACGCCGGTTTTGATATCAAAAGTCGGTTTCATTCAACTTGTATAATTTTAAAAGCTTATTAACTATATTCAATACATAGCACTAATAACGGAGTTCCATATCAGTACCGCTTTCGAACTTGTAATTCCCAACGATTTTATATTTCGTAACACAGAGAGAATCTTTTTATCATTAGAGCCCTCAATATAGCTAGACAGTGCTTATGCAGATCGGAACAATATTTTATGCTTTACAGTTGCTATTTTTATTTGTCACTAAATACACACACCCATATACGTATATTCAACTTAGTCAATTAAATTTCAAATTTTTGTAACTTAAATAATTAAACATTAATTAATTCTTATAATAGTTTAATAAATATCACGCAAAAACATTTGGATGCCGCAGCTACCTCACAGGGGCCACATTCGGCCTAGAAGCTGTAAGTTTCCCTACCAATGTTTTCTAGTTTAACATTAGATCCAATGAATTTTCCCTAGGAATATTTTAGAAGTTCATTACAATCTGGTCTAAATTCTGGTGGACTGGCGAACTCTGCCCTCTATCGATAAAATTAATCATTCATAAAGGTCTGCTAACTTTCTCGGCGATGAAGCAGCGTATTGTAGTTGGGTAAAATGTCTTAAAAAATACTCCTGCCTTAGACACAAAAGTCTGCTTCTTTGCTAATGAATTCTTACAATAAACTAGTTACTCTTCACGATTTAAATGAATAAAATTCATTAATTAACTGCATTCCTATTGTAACAAAATTTAATATTATTAAAGTATAGTAATTATTATGTATCGTGGATTGGTAACCAATGGCCAAAAATTCATAAACTATTACGTAACTAACTCTCTGGCTACCATTTTCCAAAGAAATATTTTACTTCTGGTGAAATATATTACGATCTCAGACTTTCATTCACACCAGTACAATAAATTAAATAGATCATCGCAAAATAATAATGCTAAAACTAAATATATATTAATAAAATATAAAAATAAATTGAATACAGACATATTTTTAATTTAAGCAGCCATAAAGTTGGAAGTAGCGTCCCTAAAAGATATTTTTTTTTTTTAAATATGAATCTATACACTTTTCATAACCTGTTACTTTATTTTTGTTTAAAAAAGTGTTTTTTTTTTATATTTTAGTAACAAATGTTCATGCTTGAATTTATGGTTTAAACCATAGTAAGTCTTATTCATTTTCGTTTACCAGGATATTACCCCATATAATGATAATTTAATTATTTACATATCGTTTCATTTCAAAACTAAAAAAGGATTAATTCGAAAATAGTTTGTCATATTCACCTGATAATAATAAAAATAAAGTAATAAAAGAACCTTTTTATTACGAGGGAATTTACTATTAATGAATTATATTAATTATTATGTTTGACAGTTTTTTTACAAAAAATTACAACTAATTTATACCTTATTTTATGTCCAATTAAATAAGTAATATAACATAATTAAAATAATTATTAAATATAAGCTATTTTAACTAGAACTTTATTTTATTTATTTAAATAAATATTAATTTCACTTCTGGTTTGATGCACATCTCGGAGGTATGGTGTTATTGTTTATTCTTATACGAGTTGTTTAAAACATTTTGAATAAAGAAAAATTAAAGAAAATATTAGGAAAAAAATATATTTTAGAAGGTCTCTGAGTAATATTCGTTTAATGTCGATTCTCGGGTTGTAAGATAACAGACAATTTTTTTAAAATTTTTTTTTTAATTTTTAATATTAATGAAATCACTCATTAATACTCGGAAGTTTTGCGTAGTCAATAATGAAGCATTATTTTATAAATGAATTTCACTAATTGTAAATTAATTAAATCAAGTTTTACCGATTTCGATAAAACATTAGCTTTGACTGCAGGAGTCTATTAAATAATGAAAAATCAATAAAATTTATTACTAAATATTTCATGTATTTATTTAGGTATAAATTAGCATCCCAACTTTTTCTGAAGACCGCATCCTTTATTCGGTTTCTTATAACGCGGTTCATATTAAACATTTTCTCGGTAGGTATAGCTTCGTGGAATTTAGACTGTTACATTTACTGTGTACACAGCTCGTTCAAATATTTCAGTGCTAACAAAAGCAGAAACTCTAGAACAAACTTCTCGGCTCAACGGTTAATACCAACGCAAACTGGCACAAATTGTTTTCCGAGTGTGGGTGCTCCCTAATGTGAGTCACAAGCTAATAGTAAAGATAGAGAAACCCAATATTAAACGGTAAAATATATCTATGTAAACAATCTTCATAATTACCTGTATTGCCAAGCTAGTTAATATTTGATCTAGCGATAAGATACTCTTTAGAAAACCTTGTTTAGTTTACATTTAAAATCTTGTTTGATATTTTTACTACTAAGGTTTGTTAGATTATGTGTTTTTTTTTATTATTATCTGTCCAGTAACTGTGACTCCGTCTTCTATCGGAATTCTTTGCCACATAACATCCGTCATGCCTCTTCCCTGTCAACTTTCAAATACCTCCTTTTCCAATATCTCCTTACATCCCAAACAGAAGATTTACCACCACCATAAATTTCATTTTATCAACTGAATTTGCGAGAAGTAAATAGTGGTGCCTACTGTTTAAGTTCTAACATAAAACAGCAATGATCTTTGTCACCTAGTTTGACTATTATTTTTACTATTTATTTATTTTTCTCTTCTCCTCAGGTTGTGCTTTTTTTTCGGGTATCTATGTTCATATTTTATATCTTTGTCTTTATGTGTGCCCAATATGAGAATAAATAGTACGTATAAATAGTTCCTTTTAGTTATTTATTTTTTCCATTACACCACAAGTATCGTAAGAATTTATTTTATCTTAGTGTATGCATATTATTATATAAACCACTGTAGATATTATTGCATTTTGTATTAAGTTAGTTTTCTATTAGATAGCCTATTGTTTATAAATTATGTAGTTATGTATATATAAATATGTAATTTCTCTTCTTTTTTTTTTTTTCATCACAATTAAATAATTTTGAGGAGATTTTGTGTTCATTTGTATATATATTTTATTTTTTATTTTTTAATGGTTACATACTTTTTAAAAAATGTATATAATATTAAAATTTGTATAAGTTAGTTTTTGGCCAGATTTGTACTTTACTTTGTATTAACTCATCATTGTTATTCTAAAGGGACTTAGTCTCAGAATAAAGTTTAATTTTCTATTCTATTATATTATATTATATTCTATGACCACTGAAGTGAATACACATTTAAATATACGTGTTCATAAGATTTTTAACAAAAATATTATTGCTCTGTGATGGTCCATGTCTCTTTTTCATAGTTATTACTGATTCGTTGCATTTACAACAATTTCTACGAGATACTAAATAGAAAAATACTAAAATAGGGCAAACTTTTCCTACTGGTCTGGGCTACTGGAGCCAATCACACCTGTACTACACAGGTGTGGGCGCAGTAGTGGTGTACTTTAATCGGAAATCGCGATGTGGATTTCCAGGATATCGGTATCCACTCACGCGTTAGGTCTATCGACGGTCTGTTTCAGAGGAAGAAATCTAGGTCAACCTGCGTCTGTTGTCTCAGCAGCCATAAACCTTGGATCTAAAACGATTTATTACTGTACTTGAACCTGAACGAGTCAAGGGGAAAAATACTGCTAGATTGGCAATAAAGGAATCGGTAATCGAGTTATGTGTGGCCGGCCGTTGCCCTAGAGAGAGCATTGAGAATTTAGCAATTTGAGGTTGGGTTTCCCGCTATTTGTAATCCCGCAAGCGACATACCTCAGTAATAAGGCCAAAGGACTATAACGACTATATATATATATATTTTTTTTTTCGGTTGTAGCTACAGAATATGAAGATCTTTGACCACGAGTGTACTAGACCACATCCCGATTCCCGATTTAAAGTACGGAGTACGGTCATCAATTCTAAGCCCGGTCGGTGTGAGTTGCCTCCAGTATGCTGACGGGCCTCACACACCCGGAGGGGGCTTTCCTTGGTAGACGGTCACCCATCCAAGT